CACTGCCTGCAGGCCAGCTGCTCTGCTAGCCTCTCAATATCAATAGAATCACCTCAGTTTTTTTTTTTTTTTTTTTTTTTTTTGCCGTATCTTACAGGCTTTGTTATCTGTTTCCCATGGTTTGGTTTCATTAATGCAATTTGACTCATTACATGTCCCTAGCTTCTTTCAGTAAATAGACATCTGATTTTTTTTTTTGCCAGTGTAAACTATGAGACTGGAAAACTCGCCTTTCTTTTTCATATACTTAAAACAACAAAATGACAAACCTTTGATACTTCTCTGACACATCCTTAGCCTGTGTCTGCCACCAACGTCATGGGTGGAAACCACCAACTAACTGAATAAAATCAATCTCTGATGCTGAAATATGTGAAGGCCATCCTGTGGTGTGATAGTAAAAACGGCCACCTGTGCCACGTGCTGATCATGCCTGATGCTTATGAGTGCTCTAAGGAGCAGACTTTGTTATCACCATTTTCAGATGAAAATGCTCAGCCACGAAAGATGATGCTGGGAAATAGGGAGGGGATCCAGTATAAGATCTGCCTCTGCCTCGACCTGACAGGACAAACTCTAGGTTTGGTCTCTGGGCCTGTGTCCACATCTGGAAAAGAAGGTCTCTAATGACCTTTCCCAGGTGAATCCCTGAATGCTTTTTAAGCAAATAGAGACTCTTTAGTCACCTGTGGAATTGAGTGCCAAACCCCGGCCACGCACGATATACATAGAACACATGCTATTCCTTTGTCATTAAAGCTATTCAGTTTTGCCTAGGTAAATGGTGCCTACGTTCATGTGCAGGTGTGCATTTGTGTATGTGCGTGATCATGTGGAGGCCCAAAGACAACCTAATTGTCTTCCTCAGGAATGTCATCCACCCGCTTTGACACAGGGTCTCTCTGTGTCAAAGGCCTGGAGTTCACCCATTAGACCAGTCTGTCTGGCCAGCGAGCCTCAGGATCCCTGTCTCTGCCTCTGGGTCCTAGGATTACTAAACGCCGTGGTTTGAATGACAATGGCCCCCCTAGGCTGATGATTTGAATGCTTGGTCCCCAGGGAGTGGGACTGTTTGAGGTGAATTAGGAGCCACATCACTGGGAGTGGGCTGTGAGGTTTAAGATACCCACGCCCGGCCCAGTGTCTCGTTTGCCTGCTGCCTGTGGACCATTGATGTAAGGCTCTCAGCTACTTCTCCAGCACCCCGCTTGCCTGCCTGCTATCTTGCTCCCCACATGAAGGTCATGGACAATCCTCTAAAACTGTAAGTAAGCCCCCAGTTAAATGTTTTCTTCTACAGGTTGCCTTGGGCATGTGTCTCCTCACAGCAATGGAACAGTAACTAAGACACAAGCCCACATCCTTCTCCCGGCAGTTTTTACGGGTTTGCATTCAAGACCTTAGAATAATGAGGCGAACACTTTACCGACGGAGCCGTCTCCCTAGCCCTGGACCCATCTTTCTATCACACGGACTCTTCATCTCATCACAGTGGTCCTGAGTTTCTATGCTGCACCATGCTCTGCCACCAGCTTTTAAACAGTGTGGTGATCGCAGTGTCTTTCACTGAGGGTCTTACGTCAGAGTCGATGCAAAAGAATGACTAAGAGAACAGAGTTTACCCTGAGCAAGACCTGGACCTCTATCCTGAATCTGCCTCCTGTGCAGGAAAACCGCAAGTCCTAGGTAACCCAGCACAGCCCTGAGGGTCCTAGTGTTGTGGTACACCCTCCCTTGACACTTAAGGATCCTAGAATGAGGACAAAGATGGAAAGCAGGCTATGGGTGTTTCTTCCTATCAGTGGGCGTCATGTAGCTTATATGTGTGTTTGTTCTTACTTCCATCACAAAATACATCAATCTGGATCATTTATAAAGAATTCTCACTCTTCTCATGGCTGAGACGTCCAAGATCAAGGCACAGGCCGCTATCTATTGAGCTGCCTTCTGCTTCCACACTGGGATCTTGTGTGTCCTCACATCATGAAAGAGTTGATGGTCAAGGGGGGCTGGCTGGTTCCCTTTTATCTTGTCTCTATGGGCACTGATCCTCTGACTTAACCATCCTCTAAAGAGCCCACCTTTAATGACATTGTTAGGTCTTCAGTTTCAGTGTATGAATTTTAAAGGGACACACACAAACCACAGCAGCCTAGAAGGAGACCCTACTGGCTAATTGTATAAACTGGAGGTGCATATACCTGCCATTCTGCCCACCTTTTGGAAGATGTGCTTGAGAAGTGCTCTGGGGTCATTTGGGCATGAGTTCTGGGTCCTATGGAGACTTGGAGTGTGGCCTCGAAGGGCAGCACTGACCCTGAGTTAGCAAAATCCCTTTGGCCCAGGGACCCCTCCATCCTGAGGAGAAGCACGGCCAGAGCAGGAATGGCGTGGATCTGTGAAAACCCCAGAATGGGCAGAAAACGTGGCTCAGGATTTGGGGAGATATTGGCAAAAGCGTCTCAACCTGGGCACTTCCAGTCATCTCCTAACGAGCTGTGTGACTCGAGGCGCTACTTCCCTTTGTACTTCTCTGATGTGAGAAATGGGGACAACGGTGGCATGGTGATCACAGTCCCTGCTCACCAAGGTCTGGCAGCAGGACGTCCCTTCCGTGGTTCCTGGTAGACAGCCAGCAGCACTTTCCCAGGAGCACTAAAATGCTACGTGTGCCCACTACACACCTTCAAGGCAGAAAAATACACAGCGGTTACATTGCTCTTCCATGCTTCTATAGGGAATCATTTTCTGTTTCATGTGAGAAAAATTACAATGGTAAATAAGGAGCAAGGCATGATGGGATGCATTTGACCTAGTGTGTCCCCTGGAACTCACCAGAATTGAGAGTTGGAATAGTTTCTTTGGAAACAGCCCCAAGATTAGGTAAATTCCATGAGCTGAAGTATGCTGACATACTCTTTCCAGCATGAGCCAAAGCCAAGAACATCATGCCACTCACCGGGTTTTAGTGGGCAGTTCTAGCACTATCAACTCATCTTAAGGCTGCAGATAGAGCCAAGTCTCAATTGCATGTTCTTGGAGGAAGCTAGGGTCTTATCATAAAGGTGACTAACTAAACCCAGAGCCTTAAAAAGAGATTGCTGGCTTTGCACTTCTTCACAAGACGTGGTAGCTGAGCTACGTGTAGCTCTTGTTACCGGGCCCTTCCAAGCAGGTATGACTCCTGTGCTTGCTAACAAGAGACTAACCGCATAATCCGAGCAGGTGAAGAAAACCCACAGACAGCGTGGCTTTTCTAAGTGCCTTTTGTTACACTCGACTTCATTTGAAAACCTACAGCAAGAGACGAGGTACAAAATGTGTGTTCATGTTCTGCTTGGACAGAATATGGCTCCTAGCAATTAATGCTTTCAGTCACATTAAGCATTAAATAATGCCTTGTGACATTACAGTATTGCCCATTACAAATCAATTTTGTAGTGTTTGTTCATAATAAGACTTGAAATGTTACCTAGAAACAAAATATGTTTTCCTTGAAACAGTCAGACCTTATTAGAAATCCAGGGTTTTACAAATCACCATGTTAACAGTTATGTCCCCTGGCTAAGGTTTTCTTTCTTTAAATAGTGTTAAATTCAGCCTCAGACGCTCAAGTCTCTGAGTATTAAGTCTTCTTGTGTGCACTGGCTTGAAAGGAAAAACTTAACGCTCCAAATGCAGCTACTGTCCTACTATGCACAGCCTAATAAATCAGCCAGGATTCCATTTGCAGGGAAGAATAATGAGTTATTTGCAAAACAGTTATCACTGTATTTGGGTTGCACGTTCCTTTGTCATTTTGTTAAAGTTGGGTTTTCTAATATTTTAAAAAGAAAAAAGGCATCGACTATTGGGCATGATCATACATAGCATTTTAGGAGACTGCGGTAGGCAGATCACAACTTGAAATCAGGGTCAGCCTGGGCAGCTTAGTGATGGTTTTAAAGAAAGAGAAGGAAGAGAGGGAGGGAAGGAGAAGAGGAGAGAGAAAGGAAAAGTGGAAGGAAGGAAAAGTGGGAGGGAAGGAGAGAAGGGGAAGGGAAAGGAAGGTGTGTTGGATAGTTTTATGTCAACTTGGCAACAAGATAGTCATTTGGGAAGAGGGAATCTCAACTGAGAAAATGCCCCCAACAGATAGGCCTGTGGTGCGTCCCCTGGACTGATGATTGGTACGGGAGAGCCCAGCTCACAGTGGACAACACCATCTCCGGGCTGTGGTCCTGGATGCTGTAAGAAAGCAGGCTGAGCAAACCATGAGGAGCAAGCCAGTAAGCAGCACCCCTCCATGGCCTCTGCATCAGCTCCTGTCTCCAAGTTCCTGCCCTGCTTGAGTTCCTGTCCTGACTTCCCTCAGGGAGAGTCTGTGATCTGGAAGTATAAAATGAAATAAACCCTTTCCTCTCCAAATTGCTTTTGGTTATTGTGTTTTATCACAGCAACAGAAGAGAGGGGAAGAAAGAAAAGAGAGAGGGAACGAGAAGGGAGGGGAGAGAAAGGCAGTGAGTCAGCAGGAGAAACAGCCTATGTCTAGCTCAGAGGAGTTAGAAGCTTCTAGCCACACAATCACAGTCAGCGGAGAGCCAAGATGTAGACAATACACGAGAACCAGAGACAGTGCAGGTCAACTCAATGCTAAATCGCTGAGATTTTTGGCACTTAGACTTGAATTTGGCCCTGACAATGTGTGGTGTGCAGACTCCACTATTTCAGTCCTCAGAAGCAGATGACATAGACCACTGCCCTCCATGTGCTTCATGTTTGAGCTTGGAGGGTTGGGTGGGGCCATGCAAACAAGGTGTTATCTAACGGCACAGGAAGTAGGGTACCCACGCCCCCACCCCAACCCCTAGAGCCCATGTATGTGACCTTACATGGAAGAATCTCAAGATGACCCAAAGAGAAGTACCCTTGTACAGGGCATATCACCGAGGAAGGTGGCAAGAAAAGAGAGGAAGTCCACTTGAAGACAGAGGCATGACTACAAAGCCATAAGCTACAGGACCCCCAGTCACCGAAGCTGGAAGAAATGGGTAGAGTCTGTCCAGAGCCTTTGGGAGGTGTGTGTGTGCACATGTGCATGCATGAGTGAGCGTGGCCGTCACAGGACGACCTCCGCTGCCGATCCTTAGGTCTGTGCACCTTGTGTGTTGAGACAGGTTCTGTTACTTGCCTGGAACTCACCAAGTAATCTATGCTGGCTGCTGGCAAGCCCCGTGATCTGCTTCCTAACACAGACATGAAGAGCATGTGCCAGCCCGCATTTAAAAACAGAAGCACACATGGGTTCTAGGATGAACTCAGGGGCAAGTACTGCCAACTGAGTCAACTGTCTACCTGCCTGCTGACACTTTCACCTGACTCTGGCCTCCAGAACCACGAGGGTTAAGTTTCTGCCCAAACCACCTTCGTTGTGGTAATCTGCACTACAGAAAATATAAAATTATAGTACACATCAAGACATGAAACATCACAGGACATGGTAGGGAGCTAGTTGGGGCTTCTATATTGTAGAGTCTGAAAGGCCACATTGAGGTGGAACCATGCTTGTTACCCACGAATGTGGGAGGAGATGGGGTTGGGGTGCATGTCTTGAAACTGAGGGGGCAGCAGGTGCAAAGGGCCTGACCTGGGAAGGACCTCGGTGAAGTAAGGTGTTATCCTCAGAGCCAATAGCCTCCATCTTCACCCGATCAGCTGTGCCTACTTGGGAGAGTACGTGAGGATTCTGGGAAGGAGCGGGGCAAAGAGGGTCAGTGGGCCCTCACCTGAGTATCCAGCTGTGCTTTCCGGTCATTTGTATGCAATTCTGCCCTAACTGAAATGTGGCCTTGGGGTTTTGGGCTTTGCGGCTGTGGGGAAGCTATGCTGGGTAAAGATTCTGCAGCATGGCTGCTTTAGGGTCACCCCTGTTCTCGTCCGTACCCCCTCATTCACGCTCTGCACGCAAGCCCAGGAGGCTCTTTGCTTCCCCATGTTGGTTTCTCGTTGGGACACTGCTCCTATGTCACCCAGGGAGGGAATCTTAGCAACACTTCAGCGTGTTTGAGGGCAACCAAGTCAGTGGGGTGCAGTGTGGAGTGAAGGGTGGGGAAAGAGTAAAGGGACGATTCTCCGATTCTCCGAGGGAGGCAGGGCTGGATCCCGTCAGGCAGGCCTCACAGGCAACGGTAAGAGGTCTGAATTTTCCAGTTAGTACCTGTCTCAGAAAGATCCTACTGTGACAACGACATCGAGTTCCCTCACTGCAGAGAAGGACATGAAGTTCACAGCGATGAAATCAGCAAGTATGGATTGTTTTGAGCTCGCTGATAACCTAATCCATCTCAATCTGATCCATGGACTCCCAGTACTGTTTAACTTGAGAGGAACAACGAAAGCACACTTTCTATGAAGTCAAACACCACAAGACACACAGAGAAATCAAGGGTATCCTTTATTCCATCTGCCTCCTGTTTACAAGGTGGAATTTCATCTGGAAATTGTTACTCCAGCTAGTTTGGTCAACGGCTTAGATTATCACCTTGTCCTGTTGCCTTGGCATAAGCTGTGCTGGAATCAGGCTTAAAGGTTCAGGACTCAACAAACAATAAATGCCACTACATCTGGATTCCCTTGAACTCACACCCAGGAAAGAACTGTGTTTCTATTGACTATTTCAAAAACCAGACCCACTCATTAACATGAAAAAAAGTTTCTCAAGTATATTTAAAGTGTTGACCATGGTCATATAGTTTTTCAAATACCTGGCATTCATCTTTTCCCTATCTTTAAAATTCTTTTCTTGTTCACATTATCTTTTTTGATTGCTTCTTAGTATAAAAACAAAAAAAACCCAAAGATGTGGGATTATTGTGCACATTAGCAGGCCCATACAGAAAAACACAAAAAAGTTTATATACCACTTACAGTAACAGCTCAAAATATAAAGAATTTGAAATACCATGCCCGCTCCAAGGTTAGCCGACCTAGGACAATAGAACATTGACTTCCTCAGAATTTTCCTTCACCACTGTTTAACAGTGGCAACTAAAAACCCCCCAAATCTAAGAGTTCAAACACACAGCAGTCACTCTGTGCAGTGTCCCCCTGCCCCCATAAAGAACCCTTTCACTAGGTGAGACAGTTGATTGGCTTGATCAGTTTGGGAGGCATTTAGGCAGTGGGACCAAGTCCTGTGCTCATTCCATGAGTTGGCTGTTTGAAACCAGGAACTTATGCAGGGACACTTGGCTCAGTCTGGGAGGAAGGGACTGGACCTCCCTGGACTGAGTCTACCAAGTCGATCACAGTCCTCGGGGGAG